AATTTTGATAAAAGATGAGTTAGAGCACCCATTTTTTTATTTTATTTTCTGAACAATGTTCTTATCTTAATTTTATATCTCAGACATGCTTAGGAGCAGTCCCGATTGGGAGCTCGAATTTGAGCCCCCCGAATTCCCTGAATTTCAATTTTTTTTTTTTTTTATTATTTTTTTTTCAGAAGAAGAAAATCAGAGGAAGAAGGAGGAGAAGAAGAAGAAGAACTGGAGGGGAGGGGGCCAACAAAATCAAGCTGGGGGCGGAGGCGGGGTCGGAGCCGACGGCGGGGCTGGGGCTGCGACGAGCTATTGCTGCAACGATCGGAGCTAGGCTGCAACGACGACCAGGCTGGGCAACGATCGGCGATCGGCGAACCTCTCTTCTCTTTCTCTCTCTTTCTCTCTTCCCCTCTTCTTCTCTCTTTCTTTCCCTCTTCCTCTCTGCGACGAAAATGGAAAATGGAAAAACGACTGGAAAATGGAAGAAAAAAAAGAAAAAAAAAATGCCCAAAACGACGTCGTTTTGGGCATTCGGGGGATTCGGGGGAAAAGTTTCGAGGTACAAAACATTAATCTGCTTAGGAGTATTCTAAAAAATATTTCATTACTTTCTAAAATCGTTTGATTGCTCTGATTTCATAATTTAGTTAAATTTAACTAGATGATGAAATCTAACTGTTTTATTTATCCAAAACTTCATATTCTTGTTGAAAAAATTAAAAAAAGATGAATTAAAAATTATATTTTTTTTATTAAAAAAGTAATTATAAATTGAAGTTAAACAATTTTAAAATTTATAATACAAAATACATGTAAGCAACATTATTTATTGAAAAAATTACAAATCAGTGATAATTTCACAAAATATTTATAAATTCATTTTTTAATAATTAAATCGAAAAGCTTACCACTTATTTGAATTTTTTTTTTGATAATATGCACTGAAGTGCAATTTTTCTCTTGTTTGTTTTACTAAAATAACTTACTTTATGATAGAAAATTATACAATAGTTTTAGAGTACCACGTGGCTGTACTCCCACACCAATTATTATTCATTTTGTCAATTTATATTCTTCAATCACTCAACATAATATCCCACATATCTATTTTCTTCACTAATTATAATATAAAGGAGGATCACGTGTTCAAACTATGACTTTACAACTTCTATGCGTTGACTATTTTTTTTTATTCTAAATTAAAAAGTAGATTTATGACCAATCCCCTTATAATTAATGTATTGGTGTGGGATATGAGTTGGTTTTTTAATTTTTTGGCTTTAGCTTATGGTTAAAAAATCTCATTTGGGTTGAGTTTTTTTAATTTTTTTGACCTTTTTTAGAAAAAAAATAAAATAATTATGATTTAGATGTGATATTTTATCTTATTAAATTTTTAACTTATTTTATCTTTTTGTGACTATTTTAGTCACAAACCATTATACCAAACGAGTGCAATGGATTAATATAATTTTTTGCAAATATAATCTATATAGAATAATTTAAAATATAAGCGATAAATTACATTTGTAATTTGATTTGGCTCAAGTTTTATTTTGATTTTTACTATTATAATTTAAATAATTTAGTGTCTACTTTATATTTAATTTTAATTTGGTTATTATTAATTTTAACATCTAATGACTGGTATTGCATCTCTCCAAATCATAAAACCTTCTTACTTTTCCCTCTAGATTTCTTGACGCTGTGTTTGGTTGGGGGATTTGAGGAGGAATTTAGAATGGGAAAGGGAAAAGTTAGGTGAAATGTGAATAAAATATACCTATATTTCACCTAGTTTCACACACCTTTTCCCTTTCTCTTTCTAAATTCCTCCCTAAATTCCCCAACCAAATATAGCATGAGTCGGAGGGGGAAACGATGGTAGTTCCCCTACTTCTCCAATTTCTCTTTCCTCTCCTACCCTTCAATCCTCCTCTAGATTTTGTCATAAATCCAAACTTAATATTTGTCTTATTTATCCGGTCATCACTGCCTTATATTATTTACCTTCGAGCCTAAAACTTCAAGATCTGATTTCAAATCTTCTCACAGTCTGAAAACTGAAGCTGGATAACACTTTTGTTCTACGCTAGGTGATCACCGCAACCTCAATGTTCTATTTTGACCAACGGAGGTGCAGCCTTCAGATTCTAAGTTGAAAGCTATGGAGTGGTGGAGCTTTGGATGAGTTCAGTGGTGACTTAAATCTAGTTTTTTTCGGTTTGATTTTTTTTTTAATTTTTAATTTGTTGATGTAATAATCCTTTCTATATAGATGTTTGTTTCCTTTCCTTGCAAGACATTTTCTCTTCCTCTATGAAGGCTTGGATTCTTCCTTCTAAGGTTATTTACATAAAGATGTCCTAAACTATTAAGAAGTATCAGTTTGATCTTCTAAATTATAAAAGCGTATAAATAGACCCTTAAAACTATTAAGATGTATCACCTTGTCTCTTCTAAACTATAAAAACATGCAAATGGACCCCATATTAATGTATTTCACTTTGACCCATTTCATTAACAATTCAATTTGTACATTTTTTATAATTTAGGGACATTTGTATGCATTTATAGTTTAGATGACAAAATGATACTTCTCAATAGTTTAACGGTCCATTTGTACGCTTTTATAGTTTAGGGAGTCAAAGTGATACTTCTCAATAGTTTAGGAGTCTATTTGTACGCTTTTATAGTTTAAAGGGTCGTAGTGTAAATAACTCTTCCCTCTATAAAGGTTGTTTATCTATTTTTGAGATCTTGTGATACCTTTGTACCAAATTAGTTGAATATTTTATTTTACAATGAAAAATTTGTTCTTGATAAAAAAAATTTAACATTTAATTAAAAAAATACTAAAATTAAATTTAATTTAAAATATATCGATCAAATTGAAAAAAAAAAGAAAAGACCGTGAGCCTTCTCTATTAGTAATAAGCTTCCACGAAGTCGATAAAAAAAACATAAAATTAGGATAAACTATAAATATATTCCTAAGACCATCTCCAACGGTTAAGTAAAACCTGGTGAAAGAAAGCAACTTTTTTTTAGCTCCAGCAGTTTCATCAAACTGATATCAAAATGAGAACTGTCCAAAAATTTCACCAAACTGAGGAACTGAACAGATTTTACCAAAGCATTGTGGGTTTACGTTGGAGGTAGGTCCCACCAGACAACCGGCCAGACATCCCACCGGTTGTCACACCGGTCGTCCTTTGCATACAAAAAATGCAAAGCTCCTGTGCAATGCTTCAATGTTTGGTTGGCCTGCGAACTGCTTCACAATTAGATTGTTTTTGTGGCACTAACAATTAATTCAAGGTTGATATAGATTTAATTTTCTATCAAAATGCAACATGAAAAAGTTCTGTATCGACTCGAAGTTATATATATACAGATTGATATTTTTTCATAGAGGATTCATTTGTATATATATACAGATTTATATTTTTTCATCTATCTCAATATAAAGGATTCATTCATATATATATACAGATTACGAAGACGATTGATATTTTTTCATCTACCTCAATATAGATGATTCATTTGTGTATATATATATATATATTGTTAAGGTAAAAATTTGTGAAAATTTACATTGACAGGTCGATCCCCGGGTCATCTCTTGAATCCATTTCCATTATGTTCTCTTTCTCAATTCTCATCTCTGACCCACTCTATACCTCCAATTCCATTTCAATCCTGTTCTCTTTCTCAATTATCATCTCTAATCCACTCTATACCTCCAATTCCATTTCAATCCTGTTCTCTTTCTCAATTATCATCTCTAATCCACTCTATACCTCCAATTCCAATTCTATTTCCAATTCCTTGAGTATAGGTTGAACACCTAAGAGCTCAGTCTCAAATAGAAGATGAAGTCTATATTTCTATTTCTGTATTTTTATGTTCTTCTTGTTGTTTTCAGTTCTGATTGAATTAGTTTGATGGTGATATGTTGATTTGGAATTTAACAACAATCTTTATATATCCCACATTTTACAAATCTCTCTCTAACTACCAAACTACTCAATCTTTTTCAATTCCTCAATCTTTCAATTTTGTGTTCTTGTTAACTGCATATGTATATATACGTATTCTTGACTAACAATTGTTCAATCTTTTTCAATTTCCTCAATCTTCCAATCTTCTTGGCTAACAATTAAATTATGTAAAGATATATAATTTGTATATATACGTATTTTGAAAAATTCTCAATGTGGATATTTTGAAGAATTCTTATTTGAATTGAGGAAACAGAAATGAAGGGAAACAAAATCGGAACAGAAATGGAGGGAAAAAAAAAAATTTAGTGGCGTAACCGGTTGATCGGCCGGTCATCCGACCAAACATCCCCAAGCATTTGATGCAAATAACAGTGTTCACTATTGGAGCAACTCGTACCAAATTGAAGAAAGAACCTTTTTTTTTTCATCAGATTTGATAAAAAAAATAATTCACCGTTGGAGATGTCCTAAAGTTTACTTAATATACAAATAGTATCTTATAAAAATTACATGTATATTTATTGAGGTTTCTAATTTCATAATACATGAATTTTGTATTAATAAATTATTAATTCAATTAATAATTTTTAATAATATTAAAAATATATTTTAATTGATAATTTATATAATTTTATTATTATATAAGAATATAATTATAAATTTTATTTTTTAATATTAAAAAATAAAATTTATAATTATAATTTTTCAAATTACAAAATCCCAAGCTGTATTTTAGCTCGTTTGGGAAGTTGAAGTTTGAGATTTTTTGGCTAAAATAGCTATAAAAAAATAAAATAGATTTTTTAACTTAATAAGATAAAAATTACATCCATTTTATAATTACTATATTTTTTCTTTTATAAAAATTTAAAAAAATTAAAATTTTTTTTTTCAAACCAGACTTTTTAACTCAGACTAAAATAACTAAAAAGGAATCAAAAAATCAAAAAAACCAAACCAGTCCCAAACGAAGCCTTTATAATTTATCCAAAAAAAATTCTAGTCCACTCTCATCTTTCTGCTGAAAACTCAGCGGTGTTGCTCTCTCTCTCTCTCTCTCTCTCTCTATCCAATGGCCGCCTCGAAGCTACTGCTCTTCTCTCTATTCCTAACCCTAATCTTCGCAAGATCTACAGCGGACGCTGGGACTGACAACGTCGATGGTTTCAAACCAGAGCTTTCAGATTCGTCTCTGAAGATCGAACTGGACCAACTCAACTCCAAGGTCTCCCTTCTTGGTACGTCACTTCAAATTCACTTACTTTTTTGGGTTTTTTTTTATTTTACTCCGTTTGGTTGCCGAGAAAATGTAGTCAAGAGAAGGAAGAATTTTGAACTTATTACGTTTCTCATTACTTGGATTGGGAATTTTAATAGTTTTTGCTCAACTTAGCAGCCTGCTAGAGTAAATAGGATTAGTTAATTGGATTCTTAACTCTATCTGCTTTTTGGGTTTTTGATTATACTCCGTTTGGTTGCTGAGAAAATGTGGTCAAGAGAAGGAAAATCTTGATTTTATTACGTTTCTCATTACTTGAATTGGGAATTTAAAAAGTTCTGCTCTACTTAGCCTAGTAGAAGTAAATACATTAGTTAATTGAATTCTTAATTTTGTTGTCTGTTTGGATTCTGAGAAAATTGAAGCATTAGTTACTACCCTATCTATTTTTTGGGTTTTTGATTATACTGTGTGGTTGCCGAGAAAACGTAGTAAGGAGAAGGAGGAATCTGAATTTATTACGTTTCTTTGGTTACTTGGATTGGGAATTTAAAAATTTCTGCTCAAATTAGCGTGGTAGAAGTAAAAAGCATTAGTTATTTGAATTCTTACTTTTGTTGTCCGTTTGCATTATGAGAAAATCAAAGCATCAGTTAGTACCCCTATCTACTTTTTGGGTTTTTGATTATACTCCGTTTGGTTGCCGAGAAAATGTTGTAAAGAGAAGGAGAATTTTGAATTTATTATGTTTCTCATTATTTGGATTGGGATTTTTAAAATTTCTGCTCAACTTAGTTTACTAGAAGTAAATAGAATTAGTTAATTGAATTCTTAATTTTGTTGTTGGTTTGGATGCTGAGAAATTGAATCATTAGTTACTTTCCTCTCTCTATGTACATTTTGGGTTTTTGATTTTAAGCCATTTGGTTGTTGAGAAAATGTAGTAAAGAGAAAGGAAGTAAGAATTTGAACTTACTATGCTTCTTATTACTTGGATTGGGAATTTGAAAAGCTGTAGCTCAACTTCGCCTACTAGGAGTAGATATCATTAGTTAATTGAATTCTTAATTTTGTCGTCTGTTTGGATGATGAGAAAATGGAAGAAGGAATTGCAATTTTAAGATATATTTTGATTTTGAAACCTCAATCGAGCTTTAAAAAAAAAAAAAAGTAGTGCCTAGACTCGTTCGCGCAGGGTTTATACTTTTTTAGGCTTTTAGATAATGACAAAGATAATGCTTATAAATGCAAGTTCCTTTCTTTTCCTATATTGCTCGAATTTTGAAGTTTTGATGGCTCTTTTTTTTTTTTTTCACACCCACATTTCCTAGCGATCAAATACAGCAGTGATTCTGTTCTTGGGTTTTGTAACACACTGGTTGATTGATAGTTAAACTGTGCATTTGCCTGTATGATATTGAGTTTTGAAGTGTATTTTGTCTATGATTGGATTGAAGTTTGTCAATTCCTTCAATTTGGGTTTCAGTTTTTGTTGGTTTTGCATCTATCTCAATTCATTGGCAGTATCAGTACATTAGGTTGATTTCTATGTTTTCTTTTAGTTCTAGGGGGGGCTTTAGCTTTCATTCACAATAGTACCTTGCTATCTGAGGATAAGTCGGAAATCAGACATGAGAAGGGGGGGAGGAAAGAGAACAGAAAGAAAGAATTTTGTATCTTCTTCACGTTTTGAATTATGTAGTACAAGTACTTGAGGTACAAGCAAGGTTTTAAAAAGCGGCCGCAACCGTTACGTAACGCCGTTACGTAACGGTTTTGGCGGTTACCGCCACCCGTTATAGCCGCTTTTGCAGTGTGATTGAGATTCACAGGTGTGTCGGCCGCAGCGGCTGCCGTAGAGGTCGTAACAGGCCGTTACGGCTGTTACAGCACCGTTACGTAACGGTTCCAAACTGTTTCTTCTGAAAAAACACACAAAAAAAAAGAGCTAAAAATGGGGGAAGAGGGATAGAGAGAAGAGAGAAGAGAGAAGATAAAGAGAGAAAATGGAGGAGCAAGAGATAGAGAGAGAGAAGAGGGAAGATGAAGAACATGTTATTAATTTGTTGAAACTGTAAGACCTATGCTATTCTATTCAGCTGCTATCACTAAACCATTTTGTTTGTGTGTGTCTATCTATATATTGTTTGAAAATAATAATAATAATAATAAGTGTGGTCATTATCTATTTGGCTTGGTTAAAATATGTATATATATATATATATTTAGGCTCTTATTTATTCTCTTACTTTTGTTATTGTTTATCTTATGTATAATAGTTAGTGATTGATTTTTTGTATAATATAAAGCCATTAATTATTAAAATAAAATCTAAAAAACTCAGTTTATAGTGATTTAAAAATATGAAATATATTGCATCATACTTAAAAATTTACAAAAATTGATCAATATTTATTTTTAACCCAATAAATATGATCATGGAAAAAAAATATGCGTATCGGTAAGTTTTTTTCAAATTGTGCGAAAAATAAAAAAATTCACGGTTCCGGTTACCGCAACCGTTACACTACGGCCTTTACACCCCGCAACCGCAACCGCGTCACCGCCACCGTTACGGCGACCGCAACCGCTTTTCAGAACCTTGGGTACAAGTATTCATGCAACTGTGCTTACTGCAACTTTGTGCATTAGAATTTTAGTTTTCTGTTTTCTGTTTTCTGAAAACCAATTATAAGGTAAAACTTAAGATTTTCCTTTTTACCCTTTTCTTGTTGAGCATATGGTATATAATTGTTCAAATAGTTTTTAATTCCCTTCCTAAATTTGGTAAATGAAGAACTATATTGGCTATTTAGCTGATGGTTGGTGGTTATTGTGGCTGAATGGGCAACTTTGCTGTCTTCATTGTAAAATGCTAGTATAATCTTGCCCCATCATCAGCAACAAAGGGTGCTAGCAATGGTTCTAAACATTGGCCATTTTGTTGCCAACTGGCTAATTTGTATCTAGTTTTTAACTTTCCGATAGGGATACATCCGTTACTGGCGATATACCAATGTGGACAAATATCACATATGAACTGGTTTGTTCGTGTTGCAAATTGTTCTAAACTAGGAAGCACGGATACGGATACGGGATACGGGTACGATACGATACGGATACGGCGATACGACAAAATTTGAAAAACTAAGATACGGGTACGGCGGGAATACGTTCATGAAAAATATTCAGTGTGTTTGGTTTGAGTTTTTTGAATTAAGTTTTTTGAAAACTGAGTTTTTTAGTTTTCGTGTTTTTTTGTTTTTAGTGAATATTTTTAAAATTTTAAATATATTTTTTTTTACTTTTTTAGATGCACCTTACTTAGATGTATCTAAAAAGTAAAAAAATTATGAAAAAATATTTTTAAAAATTAATAAATACATAAAAATACAAAAAATGTACTGAATTCTCGTATTTTTTTTTTTGTACTTTTGGTATTTAGTGAATTTTTAAAAGGTTTTTTTCAATTTTTTTTTTTTAACTTTTTAGGTATATTTATGTTAGGTATGTCTAAAAATTAAAAAAATTGCTCAAAATATTTAAAAAATTCAGTAAAAACAAAAAAACACGGAAAATAAGAAAATATAATTTTCTGAAAAGTGTTTTTGAAAAGTAGTAACCAAACCAAGCATAGTGATTATTTTTACAATTTTTAGTAATGTGACATACATAAAATAAAACTTAAACAGCAACAGGAAAAAATAAAGAGTATATTTAAAAAAAAGAAAAATAAAGAGTATATTTAAAAAAAAATGTGTATTATAAAAAAAAGAAAGAGTATATTTATGTAAAATAAAGAGTATATTTAAAAAAAAGAAAAATAAAGAGTATATTTAAAAAAAAAAAAAGAAAAAAAGAAAAAATGTGTATTATAAAAACAGGAAGAGATCGAAAGAAAGGGAGAGGAGAGCAAGACGAGACGAAAGAGGAAGAGGGAGAGATCGAGCGAGAGCGATAGAGAGAGAGTGAGTGAGATCGAGTCTGTCAGTCCAGAGAGATCGAGCGAGAGAGGGAGAGAGAGACAGTGAGATCGAGCGTGAGGGAGAGAGAGAGGGACGAACTTGTTCGACGACAACGACGACGTTGTTGTTCGCGAACCTGATCAACGACGTTGCTGTCCAAAGAGACTCCTCCTTTGCTGCTACTGCTAGGGCTTGGTTTGTTGTTTTTTTTGTTTTATTTTTCATAACTTTTGTTATTTTACAATTTGATCCCATTATAAGTTTTTAAAATTATTTTTTGCCCCGCCGTATCCTGAAAGTATCCCGAGCGTATTCCTGAAGTATCCTCACGTATCCCAAACGTATCCGAAATTCAAAAAATTAAAAAAAGAAAAGGATACTTATTTGCCATATCCGATACGTATCCTGCCGTATCGGACGCGTATCCGTATCCGATACGTATCCGATACGCGTACGGGGGCCATTTCGGAGTATCCGTGCTTCATAGGTTCTAAACCAGATAAGTATATCGAAATTCTAGCAAACTGGTTCGATACATTGAAATATAATTGGTATGGCTATATTATATGTAGAACCGAAGTGAGTGATCAGCTTCTTTTATAGAGTCATTGTAAAAGAAGCTTTTCGACTTTGACCGATGTGTGACAAACAAATTTGGAGGGCTTCTTTATATAAAGTGGGTTAGAGGAGAAGTGGCTTTCTATAACTGATGTGGGGCTAGCATCTCACTTTGGCATAAACATTTGTGTTTGAATAACAATTCATGCTTGGCATGTGCATATTTTGAACCAAAGATGTATTAACAACTTTACGTGGATATCATGTAGAAACCCATTGTTTTCTAGATACAGTTGTTATTTAAGCCATATAAAGGATCTGTTTCACCAACAATTTGACCTGCTTTTGTGCTTCACCATGCCAGTTAAATGGCCTGGACTTTAAAGCTTGTTCACTTAAAAATATTTCCATGTTAGATAATTTGAAGCCAAAAATATTTCCATGTCAGATAACTTGAAGCCATAAGGATGAGTGAACTTTGGGGTTATATGCAAGAGATGTGGGATTTATTATATTACATTGTCTTGTAATTTTTTTTTATTGACCCATTAAATAGACAATGATTCTACATATCAATATTTTAATTAAAATGTAACTTTAATAAAGTAAAAAATTATTTTATCATTGAATTTCAGAGGAGTTGTTAATGGTTTCCAAAATTCGCGACCATGGCACTTGACTTTTGATACGTATTGCATGATGCTCCCGATATAGAACACCTTACTTGTAATCAAGTATACTAAATATATATACATATATATATTTTTAGTCTTGTTCCATTTCAATTAGATCCTTGTAGGGTGAAAATTTATGTTAAAAAAATTCTAAAGAATGGAAAACAGTTTCTGATAAAAAGGAGTATGTGAATATATTGGTTGGGCATTTAGAAAGAATAACTAGGATCCCCCTGATTCTGGGTCTTTATATTGTCTTGATGCAGATGTGACTAGATTGGTTTAAGTACCATAACTTACTTAGCCTGATTTGATTGGAGAGAAGCCAACTCCTGTCTAGATTATTCAGAGTGAAGTGTAACAAGGCATTGTGGTTTCACTAATAGATAGCTTTTGCTAGAGAATTGAATATCTTATCTGTTACTTTTTCCTGATTTCTGTTTTTTCCTACATTTTCGATTTGTATGTTTTTTAAGAGTCCAGCATTGATGATAAAATCCATGAATTGAAAAGAAAGGATAAGAGCATCAAGCAGATGGGGAATATCATACAGGAGAAGTCAGCTACCATTGCATCATTACAAAGTGAGATACAAGCACTCCAGGTAAGGTTTTTGTTTGACTCTGTCAAGTAATCACACCAATTGATTAGCTTCAATATTCATATATACTACCATAGTTTGGTCCTTCTTGATTTTTGTCCTCCTTGTTTTTAAGACTTTTTATTTTATTTCTGTTCGACTTTGGCCCTTATTTTAATGAGAATTAATTTTGTTTATTATCAAAAGGGATCTTTAGATGCTAAGGAGCAGGTGGGTAGGGCTCATGCGCGGGTTGGTGAACTTGAGAACCAGGTAAACTTATGTTCGAACTTGCTTTCAAAGATAAGTCTTTGGAAATGTTGCACTTCTTTGATATTAATAAGCTTAACAGGTTGAGAAACTTAGAAAGGAAATAGAAACACAAAACAAGAAAAGAGATGCCTTGGAAACCCAAGTGAAAGTATCTGAGCAAAAAGTCTTGGAATTGAACTCAAAACTGGAAAGTGTAAGTATGATGCATGTTCTGGTTTCTCTTCAGGTTGATTTTATGGGAACAGTAAATTCTGCTGCAACTTTGCAAGTATGGTCCATGTTCTTCTGGTTTCTCTCTTGAGGTTGATATTATGGGAATAGTAAATTTACATCTTCACTTACAATGCTGTAGTCCTGTTCTCGAGAAACTTTACTGATATAATATTCTTCTTTAATTTGTAGTTTTTTGTTTGTTTGTTTGCAATGCGTACTTTTTCTGTATGTAGGTATAATGTGAAACTTAGTGCTATATTTGCCTTTATTTTGGAGCATTGGGCCATAAACTATTGGTAGTATTTTTCCCAAATAATGGGTGTGGTCTTCTCTCTTGTACACCAACAATGTATTTTTTTCTTTTTAGTCAATAGAATTTATCTAACATGGCAGATCTTGTTAACCAACAAATCTAGTGTCTCGGTTACTGAGTCTTGTATATGGTTAATGGTTTAAAAATGCGATTGGTTGAAATTTCCAATATATAATTAACCTCCTGATTGATGCATAATTTTAACAGGCATCACTTATTAAAGAACTCACTTAACTTTAGATATTCAACTATATATACCCTCGAAAAACTAATATTTGAGCACTTACCCTATTTAGTGTTTTGTAACCTCCTAATTCCTTCATTTAACTCTAGATGAAGCTGATACGTGTCTGGGCCTGCTTTATCTCGTGTAATGTATTTATTTCCTTTCAGAAGTTGTGCATACATTTTTGTGTAGAGCATCATTTTCTTTTTGTTCATTTATTGTTTTGTAATGCCACTCACTAACTATTGCATAGTTGAAGATTTTATGGAGACCCATGATTTGAGAATTGTAATGTTGTAGGTTTTTTAGTGCTTAGTAGCAGGAAACTCCCAGTTTGGTGGCATTTCTTGCTCAGAAACTCAATTTCGCACTCCTAAGAAACTTGCTCCCATTGAGGAAGAAATTTGCTCCCAACTGACATAGAATCTTTCAAACATGCAAATCTCGAAGAAACAAAAGACAAACAACTCAAACTTATTTATGTAATTTTATTTTTTCATAACAAAGACAATTTGTAGTTGACATCAATATCTAATATATATTCATATTTTAACATATATATTACAACTATGCCTAAAAAAATAATTGTTGGATTATTTATAAAATAATAATAATTGCTAGAATTTATTTATATATTTAATATATAAAATATATACACACTCCCATAGCCTTAGAAAATTCTATATGCCCTCCCTCCCCTTGCTTCCCCTCTCCTGCCCCTGCTTCATGCTAAGGTCTAGTGCTTTTTAATTCATTGACTGTTAAGTCACTTTTAATGCCTCTCCTGCTTCCACATTTTGCAGCAACTTTGATATATGTTTTCTTTCATTAATATGTATTGAGAATTCATCTTACAGAGGCTGTTTAGTAACATCAATTTTTTGCCCTTTTTATTGTCCCTTGCCAGCTTCATAGGATCAATGATGAACAGAAGAGCAGAATTCGTAAAACTGAACGTGCTCTTCAAGTAGCAGAGGTTTGTTGACAGCTTAGTGTCTGATAATATGCTATGTTTCTTTTGATAAATGATAACACTAATTTTGTGGTGTGTTTAGGAAGAAATGATGAAGGCTAAATTGGAGGCAAATACAGTCTCTAAAGAGTTGATAGAGGTGATTGTAGTTGCTTCAAACTGTTCTTATGGTTGTTGTTACTCTCACTCTCTCTCGAATATGACTTGTTTAGTTGCACCTAGCTTTTATAGTAATGGCATGATGTGGTTATAATAATTCTGTTGTAAGAAAGAATTAAAAAATAGTAGGTAATGTTACCCATTAATTGATTTTTAGTGGCAAAGGTTTTGAAAAATTTGTGGGATTGGGGTTTCAAAAGGGTTAATAAGGGTTGCGGCTTTGGTAATGAAAAAACGTTAGAATTGCCTTGATTAATTAGTTTTGGAATTTTTAGAAGGTACTTTGACCCCACTTGATTGGGACACAAGGTTTAGTTTGGTTTCATTAGTTTTTAGAGGTTTTGGAAAGCACATAAGTATTCATTCATAAGAAAAGTCATCAAGTAGGTATTTTGATGATCTTTTCCTTCTATCACAATAAGGTCTTGGATGCTAAATTAAAGCCAAAAAGTAGGGGGGATACGGATAGAGTTTACTGTGTTCTACATGTATGTAGTTCCTTAATTTGACTACCTAATAAGTATAGTTTCCTTGACTAATGAACTTTGTTATATCTGATAAACAATCAGGTTCGAGAAGCATGGATTCCACATTGGCTTGCAACTCATTTATTGCATTGCCAGGTATTTATTTATTTATTTCTTTTTGGTGTTTTCACATTTTTGTAGCAGAACATTTTCTGCTAACCTTGTCTCTTAATGTGCAGTCCTTTATAGTGACTCATTGGAGGGAGCATGGAAGTCCTGCCTTTGATGCGACATTTCAAAAGGTTCTTTTTCTTATTTTTTTATGTAGCTGATACCTTAATTTTGGTCTGTTAAGTTTAGATTATTTAGGCTGATTAAAGTTAGCCCAAATTAATCAGTTTTTTTAAATTATGTTTTTGTTTTTCTTTTATGTTGAATCAACCCAAGTAATATAAACCAAACAAGTTATTAGTAATTAGATGGAGTTAGACTTTGTGAACATGCATGTAGAATGATTATAGAGATCTTTGTTAGAACTTACAACTGACATGTACGTTGTACATTAAAAAAGATGACCTCTTTTTTTTTTTCCATTTGCCTGCGTCTCTTGATTTGAATTTTTTCAGGCACTGCAAAAGAAAGCAGAAGTTGAAAAGTGGGCTGAACCCCACATTGAAACAGTAAAAACCGTAAGTTATCCCCACAATATTATTTTGTGCTCTAAAGATTTTTCAATTATGTGTTTGCTTCACTATTTTATGCATGATGATTTTGGTTGGATGTTGCTGATCTGATTCTTGTGTTATTTATTGTTTGCAAATTCATATGGTTGGATCCCTTTTAGGACTATATTTTCTGGTTTGTACTTGAAATGAAAATTTTGAGAGGGCCGTTGGTCATGCTATGCTTCTGTGTTGAACAGAATTTGTTTTTAAAAATGGGTGAAATCCTAGAAAGAGGTCCATTCTTGCCTTTCCAGGGATTTTGACGTTATGCTCTGACATGCTTGCTTTTGGTTGCAGTTTGAGTAGAATAATTTGTGACAAAAAGGACTGACTTCAATCATTTTGGTGGGAGTCTTGGTATATATGTTGGATGTATGATGGTAGTGGTGGAGTCTTAGTTCTGACTTTAATTGGTGCTCTAGGGTTCAAAGACGCCCCCTCCTCCTGCTTGAGTGGAAAGGGAGGGGTCTTTGCTTCTTCTTTTGTCTTCATTTGCTTTTGTGACACTATCTTAATACAAGAGCCTTCTTTTGTTCTTAGGTTGCAACTCATTGTCTTTCATTGAAGGGATGCTCTTTATTTGAATGTGTTTTAGCGTTCAAGTTTGTTGATTTGTTAAGTATATGATTGAATGATGGTTGGTTTCCTAATTCCGTTTTCTGTTATTTGAAGATATGGATCCCAATTATGAAGGACCAGTGGTTGAGATTTGCAACTCAATTTGGATTGCATGTTAAATCACTAACTGCTAAAACCATTGAGGTTTACCATGCATCCAAGAATTCTATAGTGCCACATGTTGCCAAAGTACAGGAGATGGTGGATCCACACTTTCAGGTATATCTCACTGAGATTAGTTATTCTATTTATATGATCAGCTCGATACATTCCTGCAGTGTGGCTTAACTTAATATGGCGACAGGAAGTGAAGAAATTCACAAAGCCATACATTGATCAAGTTACAACGATGACAAAACCTCATGTTGATAAAGCACACCTTCTCATGAAACCATACACAAAAAAAGTAATTCGTACTTATAGGAAGTGTATCAGAGCTGCCACTAAATACCATCGTCAGGTATCACTTCCCTTTACTCTTTTCCTTATAATCTTGGTGCATGGCATATTGGTTTGTTGCTCCAAATTTTGGGGATCCTTGTCTGGATTTGAGATTATGTTATCAACTTATGCTGGGCGATGTCAGCATAATCCTCTTGAGTCTTTGAAATGGTGACTTATCTTAACGTTGACGATATTTCCTAGCTAGCAATAGTTTGGAATTTGGACCTTTTAGCATTATTTTATGATAAGCTGGAAAAAATTATAACTGGTGGAGAAAAGCAATTGGATGTGAAGAATGTATGCTGTCATTTTAAATTTGTTTCTAATAATCTTAGTAGAAGGTTCTTTGAAAAATGACCATTCCATCATCTTAGTCACCGTCCTTAACAGTGTATTTTGAGCCTCATAATTATTGTTGTTCATTGTTGGTGTTTTGTTTCTTTCATTTGTTAAACTGAAGAAGTAGCTAAAGCTGTCCTTTCATCTGACTATATTCAACGGTTCCTTTAGCATGTATGAAGTAATGTTGAGCATAACACCCAGGAAATTTAGGGCTAATTTAGATGCAGCTTATTAGTAGGATGTTGTGTATTGAAGTTGAAGCAGTTTACTGGTAAATATTCATGATCCTCAACATTACTCCTATAGAAAACACAACTTATAGATGAAATTTTACCATAATCAAGAAGCTTATCTTGGGTATTCAATCTCCCAAGGATTGCAAGCCAAAGAATGAAATCGCATGCTAGGCATGCTCGGGAACATGTTTAGGAAACAAAACCAGTTTGTGCCAAGCAACTACCTGGTGTTCCTTTCGAAGCAAGTTCCAAGAATCAGTGATGCTAAACTTACCAAACCTGTCATGACTCCATGAGGCTGAATCTTCTCTATTACAATGGGGAACAAAGTTAGGAGGAATTTCATGCTTCAACTCCATTAGATCAACAGAGTTTGCACATGGCCATAGCCAACCACCATCATGGATAATATCAGCAACTTTAGCCCCTCCCCCCAAACCTGAATCATATATTACCCGCTCTTCTCTGTTCACCGCAATAGGCCCACTGGGAAGCCAATAATCAAACCGCAAAGAAGTCTTCTTGCCATTGCCTATCTGATGCTTCACATTTGGTCTCACGATATCCCTTGACTTCAAAACTTTCCTTTATGCCCATGAACACTCACTGGGAGCTTTGACATTCCAAATGGAATTGCCCTTGAAAGAGTCAAGTGTCATTCCGCAAGCTAAACAACTTTGAGATGTGTAGCAAGCTCTTGTAGGCACTTGTGTTGAAGGTTGAATGCTCTACTCTCACTCTCCAAGACTTGGAAAAACACTCAAGAAGTGTTTTTGAGGCTACAAGGGAATTGTAAATTTTCAAGGTGCCTTCCTCTCATTAGAAAACCCCAACAACTAATGGCTAATTTTTTTAAATAGATCCAAGTTTGGTCTTCCAAACATTTTGTTTGGGTTGGCTTGAGTGTGGGAACATGTTTATGGATTTCCAGCTTGATTGGCAACTGTCATGGTTTGGTCATCCACCCTACCTGGGTTTGCAGGAAATCCACTCTCTGGATTCCATATTGGTCAGCCAACTTGTATGCTTTGGTCGGCCCAACTTGTGATTATTAGAAATCGCCTATGATCAAAACAGCCTCTTTGGTCGGTTCCAAATTGAACAAAATTGCCTTGGTCATCCAACTTGATCAAATGAGTTGGAAAGCCCATTCTTCATGGTCTTCTTGGTCCACTCCTTGTCCACATTTTACCCCATGCTGATGAAGTACTTCCATTGGACCATTGCACTTCTTCCATGCCGATGAAAATCTCTCATAGCACTTGAAGCTTTCATGGTTTCTGGTTTGTCCATATGTTTTGAACAGTAGTGGTTAAGGTTCCTAATCAGGTCACACATACAAAGTCATGAAAAATTTCCAACCTAACACTTTTCCCAACACAACATGGAGAAAGCAATTTAAACACACACATGTTGGAGTTTTTGATCTGAAATTATATATTTAACAATTATATTTTTTGATAAGGAAAATGGACGTATTAACATTTTTCTGATTTCCTATACCTTAGCACTTCTATAAAATCTCACTTTTATTTGTTGCAAAAATTTCTTGAACAGAGAATTTGTTTTGATATAATCTGTGTCTTAGACCTATAGTTTTTGGAAGAGTGTACATTTTGCAAGTAATTAGCCTGATATATTTCCTAATGCTCCTCTCATTTGTGAAGGTCCAAGCTACAATCCATGAAAAGCTTAAGAGTCATGATCTTACGAAACCACTTGCAACTGATGAGCTTGTTTCGTTGATGGTATGTATTATTGACTTATGCAATAAGTTTCATAATTACTTGGAAGCTTTATATTTGTTATTTTACTGACAATTGTTTTTCTTAATTTTGTAGGCTTTTGCTTTAATGGCTGCACCGCTAATTTTTCTTTTCAATGTTGCTTCATCCATTTTTTGGTTAGTTTCATATTTTACTATTATAAACTAGCTAGTAGTTTTAATACAATTCCAATTCTGATTAGGTGTTCCCTCCATTTATTTCATTTATATATTTTTTAATATCTGTTTCAAGATTTTGCTATAAGATTTGGTTTCTGACTTGCAGTAAAAAGCCCAAGAAGCGAACTCGCAATTCCCATACAAGCCATACTCGTCGTAGAGCTAAACGGGTACATCCTGAGAAGTGAAGTTCTGCTAGATGGTTCTTATGTGTTAAAAAAACTGAGGTAATGCCTATTCACTCGTCTGAAATGGTTTGAAACTGGTTCAAAATCATTTTCCCAATTTAAATTTGTATGTAATTGAAACCATGTCCTTTGTTCACAGCATCAAACCATGTTCTTCTGGCATTTTCAACTTTGAATCATAGCCATGTACATATTTGATAGGATTTAAATTAATAAATTTTGAATTTTTTCCTTGTGTAACAAAAATTATTGAGTAAATCTATGTGCACAGAAACCAAACACAGAATGTGACACAATCCTCCCACAAGGGGTGGGGCCCACATGTGAGGTGTTTGGTTTCTGTATTCCTAGCATTACTGAAATTATTATTCTCAACCTAGCATTTTCAAGTTCACTGGCGGAAAAAAAAAACACTTTCTTCAAACTATTAATAGAACAGTTGCCTCATGTATTCTGTCTGTGCAGGACTTTGCACTATATGTTGCTTAAAAGTGAATGGATTCTCTCTGCAAGAGGACGGATGATACATTGAAGTCAAATACTCTTTTGTGGACAACCAAAAGGGGTGGAAATGCACACAAAAACTGTTCCACATGATAAATTTAGGAATTCATTAATGTTCAAGACTTTGATATTATGTCCAAATTGTGGATTATTTATTATCCATTTTCTTTTTCATACATCACAAGTGAATAAATCAGAGGTGAAATGACATTCTTGAGTTACGTGATCCTTTTTATGTTTTTTTTTTTTTTGGGGGGGATAAATTATACTTTGCACTTTTGTACTTTACCCTCAATCTTCTTTTAGTCTCATTTTTGAATTGTTACCAACTTATTGCACTTTCGATCAAGTTGCAATGTAACTCTTTTCTTGTGAAATTCATTATCGAAAAATTGTCATGAGATCCTCACATTATACATTTTTTAGGACAAAATGTAATTGTTTCTCTCTTTCCTTCTCTATTTCTTCTCAATTTTTGGGACCAATTACTAGAATTGCCAAAGAGTATTTGGATTGGTGGTACCAAATTTTAAACGTATCTATTATGCCGACTTAATTACATCAAACTTTCTTAAGATTTTAATTAATATAATATTTAGTTTTTTATTTATTTTTATCAATAATTCATTAGTTAAATGGATAGACAAATAATGTTATTATTATTTTTATACTAAAATGTATTTTTTTTTCTTCTTATATATAATTGTATTTTTATACTATTTGTATCAGTTTTGATTTATATATAGCCTTACTAAAAAGAGAGGTCAATCTAATTATATTAAAATTGTGAAATTTGATATATTTTCTTAGCCTTACTAAAAAGAGAGGTCAATCTAATTATATTAAAATTGTGAAATTTGATATATTTTCTCTAGATTTTAGAAAAAGTTAGTATAACTTACGTTATAAGGACTTGTTATATCCTCTCTCTCTCTCTCATTCATAGGTCCACAAGTGTATAGTTAAAGAAACGTACTCGCAGGTATAGAAGGTTTGGTGGTGGTAGTGTTGTGTGAATAATGAGAGAGAAAACTTGCACCAAACATAGAAAAAATTTTCACTATACACACGAGAGACTTGCACCATTATAAGAATGGAAATATTTTTTTACTGTTTAATTGAAATGCAATTTTCTCTTTATATTTTACCAGACAAATTACCATATATCAGTGTGATTCTCAGTCTGGCATCTTAGGGGTGGTGTAATTCTTGTCAAACAGTGGAGGTGAACCACAGTGACAGTAGCAAGTAAAATATGAAGGTTTAAAGGGATAAGAAGATCCTTCACCACCAGGATGTTGAGCAACACATCTATCATTACAATCCTCCTTGCTAACACAATCTCCTATTATGGTGTTGCAATTCCTCTTAGGAGGCGGCAGCAACGGTGGCGGAACTGGTGGACCACAGTAGTAGAAACATGTGCAATATGCAGGTATAAAATTGGGATAACATACTCCATCACTACCAGGGTGTTTTGCAATACACCTTGCATTGCAGTCTTGTTTGTTCACACAATCTCCTATTATATCTCTGCATTTAGTAGTTTCATCTTGTACCATTGGCACTCTCATCTTTCCTACATAATCACAATTTGCATCAAAACCATGTCAACTTACGAAGCATAGATATGGATACAGGATAAGGATATGACACAATATTGATGTGGTGATATGGAAAAAATTTTAAAAATTAAAAAAACAGATACAACCAGATATGTTGAAAAACAAAAAAAAATAAAAATAAAAATAAATTATGAGAGTTCAAAGAATAGTAAGAAATCACTTTTATCTTACCTGCATAATCACAATTTGCATGAAAACCATGTCAACTATCTAGTTAAGCAGAAAAGATACAAACTCAGAAACTTTACCATGAAATCTACCCAGAACGTGGATGTATGGCGTAGATGATGTGTTGTGGGATTGATCTATAATGAATTGATCCACATAATTCAAATTTTGGGTAATTTTTTGAGTATTTTTTCATGGCATGTAGTATTGTTATCTAGTAAGATCAACAAAAATTCGGCCGTAGATCCTCCTCAATGCCCAAATATCGCTCTCTCAAATTATTTACGATCGTCAGATTATATGAGAATTTCAAGGTAGAAAAGTCTTAAGAATAATCCAATAACTTTAAATGTTTTAAGATAGAAGAACAATAGATTAGAAGGTACATACACTACAACATATATAAGGGTCTAGGAATCAAACTCTCTTCGTCTCCAAAATTAATTTTTTTGCTGTAAAAAATATTAGGACACCAATTCACATGGTCACCAAAAGACCATCTAGAAAAGTACTGAAAAAGAGGGTATTTAACAACAGAAATTTACAATTAATAACTACTTTATAATAATTTATTAAACCTTATTCTCTCTCTAAGAAACTTTAGCCCTCTCTCTTTTCTTTTTCTTTATTGGAAAGTGGCTGCATTAATCTTTATTCTCTCTATTTCTTTTCCTGCGGTTTCTATCACCATGTTAGCCACTACAGCTCATTTTTTCTCCATCATCAGCTTGCCACCGAGGAAGCTTTTAGATCTAGTATCAGATTTGATTTATAACCGAGATCCGATACTGTTAAACGCGTTGTTATACACTAGACGACCACCTCAGATTCAGAATGTTTTATTTTGTAACGTAGAGATATGGCCTCCTCCTTATATGGAGGTTTATTTTTCTCTTTACGTGGAGACTCGTATCCTCCTTGTGCTCCTTATATGGAGGTTTATTTTTCTCTTTACGTGGAGACTCGTATCCTCCTTGTGTTGAGGTTATGTTTATCCCTTTTGGATGTATTTTGTATTTCAATATATTTTATTGGACGACTTATTGTTGGATGGGCAATATATTAAGCCTTGTGCTTTATCATCAAAAAAAAAAAAACAAAAAAAAAAACAAAAATACAAATTAAAAAATGTCACTAAAAAATGCACACAATAAATTTGTGCCAAAAGTTTTATTTATTTATTTATTTTATTTTTTGAGATGAAGGTTTTGGTCCCAAAATATGTAATTCATCACTAAATGTTCAATTTTATCACTAAAATATAATAATAACATTTTTTAGCAATTAAAATATTTCAACCTTAAAAAGTAATTTCATCTCTATAATTTTATTTCTAAAATTGTAATTTATTATAGTGGGAATTCCATGCCCAAAATGTCATATACCATGAGAGCTTTAATTGGAGATTTACTAAAAAGGTGCTACCCTTTATTCCTTTACATTTTTTTTAATCTCCTTGTTGGGTTTTGAAACTCAAATTATGTTTCTGAGTTTCATATTTTTTTCTATTTTTTTTTTATTTTTAATGATTTTTTTTTATAAATATTTTAATTAATTATTTTATTTTATTTTTTTAGAGCTACTTAATCTAGATATACTTAAAAATTAACATATTTTGAAATAAATCTAAAAATAATTCAATAAATACAAACAACAAAAAAAAGAAAAAAAAGAAAAAAAATGTGTTTTAGTGGAACAGTAAATAAATAATTTCTCTTTCATTGTGGTGCAAGTCTCCTGTGTGTGTATATTGTGTAAGGAAAATGCTATACAAACAAAAAAAAATTTACAAACTTTTCTTACAAATTGATGTGGCATGGAGTGATACAACTTTAAAATGTGAAATGAGGACTAACTTACTAATATTTTAGGTGACACATCAGTTTGTAAGAAAGATTTGTTTGAAAAGTTTGTTTGTATAGCACTACTCATTGTGTAAATCTTTCTTCTATTTAGTGCAAATTCTTCTTTGTATGTCACAGTTGCACAAAAAAATATTCCACCTATAGTGCAATTATTTTAAGATTGTCCCACTTATTTACAATTTTTTCAAAAATCAATTTTGTGTGTTTGGTTTGAGTTTTTTTAATTAAGTTTTTTGAAAATTGAGTTTTTTTGTTTTTCGTTTTTTTTAAAAATTTTTTGTGAATATTTTTAAAATTTTAAGCATTTTTTTAGATGCATCTTACTTAGATGTATTTAAAAAGTAAAAAATTTGTGAAAAATATTTTAAGAAATTAATAAATACATAAAAATATGAAAAATATACTGAATTTTTGTATTTTTTTCGTATTTTTGATATTTATTGAATTTTTAAAAGATTTTTTTTCACAAAAATTCTTCGTTTTATGTGTACGTTTGGTGTGTCTAAAAATTTTAAAATTACTTAAACTATTAAAAAAATTTAGTAAAAACAAAAACATACGGAAAACAAGAAAATAAAATTTTCTAAAAAGTATTTTTTGAAAACCAAAAACAAGAAAAGTTACATTTTTGTAATTATTATTTTTAGATTTTTTCATAAATGTTTTCCTTTTTAAGTATACGTAGATTAGATGTATTTTGAAAGTGAAATTTTTTTTTAATTAAAATATAATTATTATTTTTATATAAATAAAAAAATATAAAAAATAAAAAATTTAAAAATAATTTTCAAAAACTAAACCAAAGATAGTAACGGTCAAGAAGCAGTATAAATGGTGTGAATGCAAGAGCCGCTTAGACATCATGAAAAATTTGTATAGATACTGAAAACTTGTCATCTAATGCCAGTTATCACAAAAGAAATATTATGAGAAATATTCATGAAAAATTTTCACCTTTAAATTAGTTTATAGTGTTTATTGTATATTATGTAATTGCTATTGAATTAATTTTATAAAAAAATTTCATAATATTTTTTCATTATGCGTAACATTATTTTTTTTGTAGTTTTGGCTAATAGTTTATGCATCTTGATATTTATAGCGTTGGAAGAACATAATTATAGGGATGCATGCATTTTAGAAGGTGCTTGACATCCAACTAACAAAAATATATATTTTTGTTTAATAATGATTTTTTTAATTATGTTAATTAATTAATTTATTATTTATTAGTTTTTACTTTTCAAATCCGTCTTGTATAGGAAGATCTAACAAGTTTTAAAAAAATCTAAAAAAATTCACAAAAGACAAAAAAAGAAAAAAAAAATGAAAAATTAACTATAAATCTCATTTTGAGGAATGATGATCCATTTACTCCTAATAATTTTCTTATAGACTAATTAGTCTCATTAATTTTAAAAGGGTAGATTGAATATATTATTTAGAAATTAGATTTATACCCTTATTTCTATTATTGTTATTGTTATTATTATTTAATTTTATTTTTTGGGCTAAAAAGGTAAGATACACAATATATGAGAATTAAATTTGAGATGAATTTTTATATGAAAATCTATTTTATTTGGAAGACATTTCAAAAGTAATACAAAAATGACTTGAAATATAAGATTTTTCAAAGATTCTAAAATGATATGGGATTCTTCAAACATTTCAAAAGGAGTATAAAAACTCCTTAGTAAGATTTGGACAAATATAAAATTTCAAACTGTAACACTTTAATGT